CCCCCCCCCACCCGCCATATTCTCCAGACCTTTCGCCAACCGACTATCACCTTTTCAAACATTTTCAGAACTCCCTTGCTGGAAAATACTTCATCAATCAGGACCAGGCAAAAAAGCCTTCGTGGATTTCGTGAATTTTCGACCACCCAGTTTTTACTTTGATGGGATTTCTCGACTGCTGTCACATTGGCAAAAGTGTGCTGATTCGAATGGTGCCTATTTCGATTAAATCCGATGAGTATTAAAAAAGTTACGATCGTTTAAAGTGAAACACCCAAAACGCTGAGAACTTCCGACAACCTAATATTTACGGCTTGGCGTAGGATCCGGACACAAAAATCCAGAGCTTGGGAGCATAACACGTACAAAAAGTCAGTGAAGCGTCTCAACGCCAGTGAAGGTTTGATTGCCTTCTCAAATAATAACAAAAATAAAACAGTAAAAAGAAAATAAAAAAAAAAAAAAATAAAAGAAAAAAAAACAAGAAAAATAAAGAATACATGGTCACGTCCTTATCCTAGGACGGAGTAGGCGTGGCTTTTTAGCATGGCATAGGACGGGTTTCTCGTGAGATACTTCAATTTGAAACAACTGCTATCTTGTTCTCTGCTATACCTAGACATGATAACGACTGTTCCGAAATGACAATATCTCACGAAAACCTGCCGACGCCATGATTTAACACGTTGACGACATGCGCGTTTTTACTTTTTGGCCGCGTGGGACACGCGCGTTTTCTCGAACGCAACCAGCGCGGTACACACATAGTTCAGACGATCCCACGAGGCGCTTTTTTGGAAATTGGATCGGAAAACTGGATTAGAGCGCAGTTATGAAGTAAGTTAATACTTCAGTATAGAAAAAACCTGGCTGGCTAACTCTCGTTGCACTAGATGCCAGAAATTCGTCCGCAACCAATGTTTTCATAAAAAAAAGGTGTCGTGCCCTCTATAGCGTTCAGAATCCTTCACCCTATAATTTTTACCATTATCAACATTGTATCGAGCTAAGTGTTGGAGAGCAAACCATTCCAGTGTTGAAGAGCAAATCAGTCCGAGCAAATGGTGATCTTTACCCAAAAAGTATTTGCTAAACTAGTGTGTACTGAATTATTCCATGGACTACGCATCTATACGAATGATTAAGAGGGAACTAACTAAAACAAAAACCATGCACTGTTAAAGATCATGATTTGCTGCATCCGTGAGTTGCTATAGTATGCACCGCTGTTCCCACGTGGCCTACAACGCGTGCATTCAATGTGTCTCATGCTGTCGTCAATGTGTTAAAATCAAGTACGCAGAAACGCCTACCCGATCTCAGGGATTTCGAGTATATCTTCCTCCGTGAGCGTGAGGCAATTTCTTGGTGGACACTGATAACATGATGGTTTTCAAGCAGCCATCGCGATGACTGGTCGGTGGAAGAAGCTTCACATGGTCACTCCACATGTGGCAATCCTTCAAAGACATTTCTCGTGAATGGACGCCTAGCGGTCCGAAAAATAGCATTAGCCTTCACTTGCTCGATTTCTCTCTTTTCTAACTGTAAGCCTGGGGAAGCACGCAAACGCAAAATGGCAGGCCACGATTTCAACAATAAAGTTTCAACGCTACGTGTGTCTTCTAGTCCCTCATGCCTACCATAACCCTAAACTGACTCGCTCCCCCCGCCACAGTGAGGTGAATACGAGCTTATGAGGGTCGATAGTACAGGGCTATGTTCCACGCGGCCCAAGAAAAAAGGGTTCGGAGGGCCTGAAACTCGCTCGCTCCACTTCGGCATAGACACACATGCTGCAAGTTATAGTAAGGGGGCGGAGTCCAAAACAGTCGAGCTGTCATAACCCTTCAGATTCATTTCCGCGCACTTCGAGATGACGAAAGTGGCCCACTACTACACAGGGCACGCCATTGCGTTGTGATCATTTCCTGAAAAATACGACCCCCCCTAATTCCATCTTCAAGTACGACCCCCCTCCCCATGTTACCTCTTCCCTAGATTTTTCCAACCTCCTACCACTTTGTCTATTTTTTCCCAAAAATTTCTGGTTTTTTTACAAAATTTTGCTGTCGAGCGGGGGGGGGGGGGGAGAGGTCGCAGTACCTACGTACGTCCCAAGCACGTCCAGCACTCTGGCGCTGGTGTAGCATACTGACAATACGTACGAGGAAGGGGCGATGATAGGAGCTACGATCACCGCCCACAAGGGCACCATATAATAAACAGATGAAAGTACATTCCCGGACTTTTCTGATCGTAGGAGCACATGTGCTTGCACTTGGGAAGCCCTATCTAGAAGTTACACCTTTCCAAAACCTGCGTGAAAGCCCCATGCATGGCGCATTGCACAGGTGATGCCAATTGGCGCCCATTAGACTATTCTTCAATACCCTTTGCGGAAACATGTGTTTCAGAAGCATACCAAAGTCTTCAAGCCAACTGGAGGTTTCCTGGCCTCGGAGGGGTTGATTTTTCGTGTCGTGGGGGGTGAGCACGAAATATCACAAACGGGGAATTTTCGAATGTAGCAGGCTAGGAAGAAAATTAAAGCCTTGCTGGAAAGTAGAAATCTTCAAGCTTCCGGCACAATTCTTTTTTTACGAAAGGCCGTGTATGAAGCTTGCCATGGACGTCCAAAGCGTAGCGACTCGCGGTTCGCAAAAATGATCACAGACGGATCACAACGATGATCACAACGGGGAAAATCTCTGGAATCGGAACGTTTTTGAAATCGCTCAATTCAGGTGACAAGAGCCAACCTAGCTCTACTCATTCCCACTTACCCCTCTCCGATAGCTTCACTTTCAACGAAGTTATGGGTGTTCAAATGAGGGGTACTTTTCACGTGTTTGGCTTGAAATTGGCTCCAGGCCGTAAAATAGCGCGCACCAATGAGCTTGTATGAGCGCGCTTGACGCGGAAACAGCAAAACTCAAAAAGTAACCATAGTTTTCCGGTTCCCAGCTGGCCTGGTGAGTATTTTTTTTCTTATCCATTTGATTGTTAATTATTTTGATTGTTTGTTTTTGTTAAGTTTGATTTTGTTTTGTTGAGTTTGATTTTGTTGTGAGGAAATTGCTCAGGATTCAATTTCTACGGTTTCATAGGTAGCTTTTGCAATGGATTCTTTTCTAGATTTGCGGATTAGTGGATTGGGATTTATCTAGACCAGATGAGGAGGGTTGGGGCGAAGTGTCTTGAAGTTTTTTTGTGAGGAAGGAGGAAAAAGTTTCAGCAATATTTTTTTAGTTCTTGGCCTAGGAATAGTTCGATAGTGCCTAGTTCTATTTATTGTCATCTACATCGTCCCTTTTGAGCTTCTTTTTTGTACCGTGTATCACCGCTCTCTCCACTTCAACATGGGCCATGCGTTTACGACCCCCCCCCCTCCATCGCGGGCAAATACGACCCCCCCTGTTGTGATGATCACAAAGATGGCGTGCCCTGCTCTACAGCTTCTATTTTTACGAAATGGGAGAAATAGAGCTGTAGAATATAGAAATAGAATTATGGGAAATAAAAATTGCAGAATCTGTCATACCTTTATTCGAGACTATGTTGGATTGACATCCAGAGGATGGTTTCCATTCCTGGTAGCATTAATTAGATTGATTTGACGCTTCTGCCGGTCACCGTCGCTTGCTGTCCACCTTGATGTCTTCGATTTTTTGAGATCGACATCGACTTTCCACTTCAGCTATCCTGCAAAAGAGAACGGGGCGATCAAAATGGTCTTCTTATCGGTCCTCCTCTTCTCTCTTCCCCGTCCTTCAAGGACGCCAAAAAGGGTAAAAGGTGGAAGAGTGGGAGTAGGATCGATTTATCGATTAATTATACTGTTTTATGCTACAGTTTAGCGGAACATTTATAGTATGATGCCTCCATCAAAGTGCGGATCATCGTCGGGGCGACGCGTGACCTTCCAATCTGCCCTCTCGATTGGTACTACTTTCTTTCTTGTAGCTGTGGAAAGGAGTGATGCACACATGAGAAAGGGTCGCAGTAAGTAAACTATGCCCCGCCCACTCGATCACCACTGGACGTGCTTCCAAGGTCCCTAATATCGCTGAGCGCTGGGCCATAATAACGCTTATATTACACCTCCTTATCCCTGCAGCAGACGTAGGCGGGTTGCATTTGAACTCATAGCCAAGCAACTGAGTTACTCTGGTAATATTCCAGTCGAAGACAACTGATCATCTTGCTTGTGTTGAAAGGAGATGACAACAATTGTGTCAAGGTGAAAATATCTCACCAGAAGCACAGACACCTTCAGGATAGGTTGAAACAGGCGGCCACGCCTACCCGATCTCAGGGATTTCGAGTATAAGTTAGAATCCAGGCGGCCACGCCTACCCGTATACTCAGGGATCTCGAGCTATACATGTGCCTCTAAGCTTACACCAACTCAAGCCCTTCAGAGCCCATTCACCAGAACCAAGGGAGCGAAACCAGGCTGTGTCGAAGTGTGGCCGCCCTTCAAGGACTTCTCCAAGCAATTGCCTCACAGCAGTCACCATGTCAAACGTATGAGCGGTGTGAGACTGCGGACTTTTGCCTATAATTCTCCATTATTGCGTAAATTTCCATAAGCAACGCTTCCGTTGAAATGGTCTAATGATCCGGAATGATGCGTAGCCATAACGAAGGATTCGATGAGCGCCAGGCATTTTATCAGCACATTGTTTATGTCACGAGGAGGAGGAACAGTGACAGGTGGTGCGCCCACGTGGTGGTCCGGATGCCGAATCTCGGAACGACTTCTGCTGAAGCCAGCCAAACCTCCCATCCACCTGGAGTCGACCCGTTGGTACCAGAATCGTATTGTGATTCGAAAATGCTGACGCGTACGTCGGCTGGTCTCCGCTAGTGATTCTGTAGTACATACAATCCTATTGGTTATGGATCCTAGGGCATCTCGGGAGGTGGAGCTCCAGTCTACCTAGCCGCTGTTCTCGAATACCTCGCTGCTGAGGTTCTCGAGTTGGCCGGTAACGCTGCTCGTGACAACAAGAAGACCAGAATCAACCCTCGCCATCTGCAACTTGCCGTCCGCAACGACGAGGAGCTCAACAAGCTCCTCTCCAGTGTGACAGGAAGGTGTTCTGCCCAACATTCAGACCGTTCTCCTGCCCAAGAAGACCTGCCGGTGACAACGAAGTAAGCGCCCACTCTGCTGGCTGCATTTATCTAACCCAACGGCCCTCTTTAGGGCCGCACTGTTGAAAGAAACGAACGCACTGGCTGGGCTTGGCTCAGTGACAGTGGTTTACGTTTAGACGTTGTCGCTCATATGCTTAAAGGCACGGTCCGCGATAAAAAGCCCAGGTGATGTTGCAGAAATGTGGAAGAAAATTCGCCAAGTGAACCGTCTATGAAGAGAAAATGCCAAAGGGAACGTTGGAAACGCATTCGTCAGGCCTCCTCTAGCCTCAAACAACTGTAGAGGTAAAAGACCGAAAAGACCGCGCGCTGGGATGATTCCCGTCGGCTGATTCCCAATAAT